GAAATTTTAAATAGGGGTAGTCTCATTGAAATAAAGTCTCATTGAAAAGGTGACATTTAAACAAAGGCTTGATTGAAAAAGGTAAGAAAATTAGTCATTTGTATTATCTCTGTGGGAAAAACTAGTTATTTCCCACTAGAGGGAATAACTAGTGCAAAGGTCCTGAGATAGAGTGTGGCTAATGCACTTAAGGAACAAGTCAATGTGGCTGGAATGGAGTGAGCAAAAGGGAGGATGACAGGAGATCAAAAAGAAAGAATAGGGAGAGGCAGATCATGTAAGACCTTAGAGCCCAAGGTAAAGACTGGCTTTTACTGTGCAAGAAACGGGAGTTCAAAAATTTGGAGGCTTGGGAATTCCCTGGCGGTCTGGTGGTTAGGACTCCGTGCTTTCACTGCTGAGGGCCTGGGTTCGATCCCACAAGCCACGCGGCCAAAAAAAAAAAAAAAATTTAGGAGGTTTACCCAAAATCCTGTATCAAATAAATGGTAAAGCTAGGATTTGACCCGGGATTTCTAGACTCTCTACGCTTGTGTTCTGCTATTCCAATTTGCCACTTATTAGCCCACAAACTCCCTCCAAGGAAGTCTGAATTTAAATATCCTCAAGAAGCTAACTTTATAACTACCTTCTAGGTTAGAGATGCACAACCTCTCCAATTAACATTTCTAATCCCTCACAACCATAATGAGAATTTACTAATCCTAAAGTCTAATCTAAATCCTAATATCCAGCCTATTTTTTGGGTAGATTACAAACTCCACCTTCCCCATAAATGAGACAAGATCAAGAAAGCTTTATTAGGAGGCTTAAAGCATGACTTTCAGGTTCAAGTAACGATAACCTGAATTACTTTTAAAAATGTATACTAGCCAGATGTGAAAAAAAAAACAAGAGAATGGCTCAGGAATGCCAAAGTATTGTCATTTTCCTTAATAGTTTACTGTTAGTATTAATAACAACTAAGTTCACATGTAGTCAAAGAAGCTTCTGCAATTATTATGACTCTTTGAGGTCTGGGATTTGACCATTTCATACCTCAAAATTAACAAAATATGTGTCCTCATTCATCTGTTGCTTTTGGTACAAGCCAGAACTCTTGATAGCGTCTTGCCGGTTGATGGCAACTTACGGCAAACACCAGAGGATTGTGAGGGAGACATCAAACATTACTGAGATACCATCTAGAAGTATATCAGACTGGTTAAGCCCTTAATGACCCTGGGTCACTCCTTTCCTACTGAATAAACTCAAACCGTATAGGGATATTTCATATATCCATAAAAGAGAAGGTAAAAGATGGAACATGAAGAAGGAGCACTTCAAATCAAATCTACTCTTCAGAGGCTTTCATCACTACTACGCAAATATAGAAGGCTCTCTGCTTCATGGACTCTGGAGCCACCAAAATCCCCAACCAGTACCTACAGAAAAAACATCACAGGGATTACTGAAGATAAACTATATGGCTAATAGACGCTTCCCCCCACCAAAGCCAGTTCTTTTCAACAGAAGCTGAACTTCCTTATGTATCCAATTCCCAGGATTGCTTGCTTAGCCAATGCAAGAGAACTGCAACTTCGTGTGGCACTGCCTGATAGGCTGGATTTTTCCTGAGCAAGAGGTGAACAGCTTTATGCCAGGACTAGATTTATAGTCAATCTGACTGTGTGTCTTTTTTTTCTTCCCCTCTAAACTGACTCAGAAAATGCCTGGCTATTGTGCCTTAATATGTAATGAAGCAGAGCTTTAAGTACTGCAAGTGGTCTGGAGAAGAAAGTCCTTCAGTTCCAGTATGGCTCAAATCATGACTTCTCTAGCAATTGTTTTAATCAACCAAAGCTGGTTTGGCTTTTCTCAATGAACTAAATGAGCATCCTGAGCTGAGTGCAGAGGGGCTACTTGTCAGCATGACTCCCAATGAGGTGGCTAACATGGAATAAGCTCCAGAGTCTAGAAACCAGGACAGTACAGCTGCTGTTCCCATAAATATGCACCTTCAGCTTGATGGGTGGGGGAGGTAAGGAAGGAAGGAAAAATCAGTAAATTGAAACAAGAGGGACATCCCTGGTGGCACGTTAAGAAGCCGCCTGCCAATGCAGGGAACACGGGTTCGAGCCCTGGTCCAGGAAGATCCCACATGTCTTGCAGCAACTACACCCGTGCGCCACAACTACTGAGCCTGCGCTCTAGAGCCCACGACCCACAACTACTGAGCCCACGAGCCACAACTACTGAAGCCCACATGCCTAGAGCCTGTGCTCCGCAACAAGAGAAGCCACCGCAATGAGAAGCCTGCGCACTGCAACGAAGAGTAGCCCTGGCTCTCTGCAACTAGAGAAAGCCCTTGCACAGCAAGGAAGACTCAACATAGCCAAAAATAAATAAATTAAATTAAATTAAAATAACAACAGGCCTAGTTTACATACAACATACGAGACAACGCTTAATCCAGAGGTCCCAGCAGAAGATTAGGATACTATTATTGACACACTGACTCTTCTTCCACACTGCTGTTCTCTAAACAAAACCCAACCTGGAGATCTGGGTGGGGGTGGGGGGAAGGTGGGGGCGGTGGGTGGTAAGGAGAGACATTAGTCCAAAAAAGGGGAGGCAGGCAGCACACCGACTTTTGAATGTACTTTAAGACTGAAATTCAGAACAGAATTCTCACGTTTCCCTTCCCCACCACCCTACGGCCTTACGCTAAAAACGGCAGTAAAAGTTACTGCCATAACTTACATCTGAAGTGCTGATCAGGGAACCTGGTTAACGTTGTTCCTAGACAAGTATTTGAATGTAGCCTCTATTCAGACCCTACTGGGACTGCCTCTAAACAGGAAGTTAACAGACATCACACATAGGCAGGGAAGGCAAACCACAGTGTCAAAAAGATGGATTCTGCTGTCAGCTACTCATCACTCTCACCTCATCAAAAGTGTTCTCAAGTCAGGAATAGGCAGGACAAAAGCCCATAAGCCTCACCTCTTCTCAAACTGGGTCACTCAGCCTAAAGGTTCAGCCTTCTGGTTCCTGCTAATTAATACTTATCTGCTTCATTCCTTACCATGATGTGATGACTACCACTGCCACTAGACTAAAAAACTACATTCCTCTTAAAACGGAACACAGTACTACCAGATCAGTACTCCCATTAACTCGTTATTTATACAGCCCATCTGCTTAAAAAGCCCAAGGAAAGACTCTTCTTGACCCAGCCCATTCCAAAACAGTCAGAGACTGAATATCAGTCACAAAAAAGCAGCACCATTTCCAACAGGTGTGGGCCTTCCCTCAAAATATATTGAGCCTGTCCAAAGCACCACCTTTACCAGCTCCAACAGTAGCCTCTTTCCCAACCAAGCACCAACAGAAATGCTACTACAGGACAATACTCTACCGAGACTGCTCCAACACCAAAAATATGAATCCAAATGGTTATCTCAAGGAAGAGTTTAAATCAGTGTATCAAAGAAGGAGCAGTAGAGTTAGCACTAAACTCCCAAATAGGATAATCTCCAACATACAGACAACAACATATAGACAGCCCGCTGCTGCAAGAAAACAACCAGAAGTCATCTGTACTGGGACGGGGACTGGATGGCTGGAGACCACAGGTGAGAGAGAGAGAGACTTCTTTTCACTTTGTATCACATACATGCATTGTCTTTTTTAAAAATAATTTTGAGAGAAAAATGTTTTAAAAACTCAAAAGCATCAGCTCTTCTCCCAACACAGATCTGCTAAACCGGCTTTTACTCCAGCTGCTGCAAGTTCAAATCTCTTTCAGTCTGGCCTGAAAGCACTACTCTTTTCCTTTGCTGAAACACACTACGTTAAGCATCTCCCTGCTCTCTTAACACGCACACAAAAGCCCTCTAAATAATCATTTATCAGAAATGAGAAAACTGGTTCTCGGAAGGCTACCTGATTCTCCAGATGACAGCAGCAGAAAAGGCTGATAGCTAGCTCAGTTAGCATCCACATGCCACCCACCCACCATCAATGCCTCCATCTCCACTTCAGGGCCAGCCCTATGAACACCTTGTGTGTGGAGGGAAGTTGATGCTAGGGAAGAATCCAAAGAGGCTACCATACCTTTATGACGGGGGAAAGTGCCTGGGCCGGCGAATGGCACCGAAAGCTCTGCACTCATAGGAGTGGCTAGCTCCTTAGAGCAGGGAGGCAAAAAGTACTCTAAGTCCGGATTTGGTTTAGTAAAAGGTAAGTTCTAGTTCCATCGACCCTCAGGCACTGAACTGGGATACAGATCCAGTGGGTCCCAGAAGCCCGGCTGAAGAAAGGGGTAGTTTAGTCCCTACAGAAGACAAGTACCCACACAGGCTTAGACAATTCCCTTCTAAGGGAGGACGAGGGAACGGTGGACGATGAAATAAAGGAGTAAGGTTCTGCGTTCCAGATCCCTTCGCCTTAAGAAAGGTAATCATCCCGTGCTTCCTTCACCCTTAAGGATCCCCCATTTGTCCCAACCGCCAGCAAACACAAGACTGAGAGCAGGGAGCGGCCCCCGCACCCTGAGGGCACCACTGGGGGTGGAGAGAGTTAAGGGGGGGCGCGCTAGAGAGGAAGGAGGGGAGCATGGCGGGCCTGAGGCAGTGAGTGAAAGCGGGGAAGGCGGGGGAAACGGGGCGCGAGGGAGGGGAGAAAGAGTAAAAGGAGGAGAAATGAAGGGACACGAGCTGGGGGCGCGCGAGGCCGAAGTGAAAGACCGGGTCGCGCGCGCGGAGCGGGGGGAGGGGATGAGGTGAAGGGGGAGCGCGAGGCGGGGGCGCGCGGTGCCGGGGTGGGGGGAGGGGGACGCAAGGCGGGGGCGCGCGGGCGGGCGTCGGCTCGCGGGCGCTTCCCCTCCCCCCGCCCCTCCACCTTTCCCTTCCCCCACCTCCGCCACCACCGCCTCCTCCCAGCCTCCCTCCCTTCCTCGCTCCTCACCGCCCCCGGGCGGGCGGGCGGCCAGGCTGGCCTAGGCCAAAGCTCCTCACCTGGCGGTGGCGGTGTAACTCCCGGCTAGCTCGCCTCCCCAGGCGGCGGCGGCGGCGTCGAAAAAGGAAGAGGCGACGGCACAGTAGGTTCCGGACCCCGCTGACGGGACCGGGGGCGGGGGTGGGAGAGGGGGGCGGGCCGGACCCGGGCGGGCGGGCGGAGCAGACACTGCGGTACAGACGGGGGCAGCGGCGGCGGCGGCGGCTGCACCGGCGGCGGCGGCACCACACAAACAAGGACGCTGATTGGGCAGCTGCCAAGCGCCTCGACTCCGCCTTTCCCACACGCCACGACGCCCATTGGGCGACCTGAGCCGGCCTCCCCGCCCTCCTCTTCTCGGCCATACCAATAGGAGACAGGATGCCGGGGCTACACCCCACCCTTGAAGAGTGAGTGGCTGGAGAAGTGATGATTGGCGTACCTAAGACCCAATCGTAAACGGAGGAGGGGGATGGTCTAGCGGGGGCGCGTTAATGGGTACCTCGGCCAGTCCCAGACACATCCGGGTCTTCAGCAGCCCATTAAGTGTCGGGGGTCAAAAAATCGCTTCAGGCTGCAACTTTACCTTAGAGACGTTTTGGTCCCCAGGCAGCCGCCGTACCCCAGTATCCCAAAACCGGGATTCCCCTTTGGCCTGTTCTCATTCTTCCAATTCTAAAGATGGAGACTGGCGAACGGCGCTGGGCTCTGTGTTGGATGGTGTTTCATCCCGACAGAATCCAGAAATTTCACGATAGAAGTAGCTTGAGGCGCTCAGGCCTTGCAGTCTATTTGGGGCGTGGCCTGTCTCCATCTGCCAAAGGCCTTGAGCTTCCTGGTGTTCATTGTATCCCAGCATGGTCCTGTCGTGACTGAACCACGACAGGAGAAAAAAAGGCAGCTAGCCAAATTGCTGAGAAATTACGCCGTGCAGAGCCCTCGCAGTTCCTCTCGGGATCTCTTGGTCTGGTCAGGTTCACAGTGAGGGAAACAGCCTTCCACTCCACCGACTCCACTTAACTCAAGGCCCAACTCCTGCTAGCCTCCCTACTTCCCCAAAGCAGTTAGGCCCACCTAAACTCTCAGCGTTTCTCGAGCACTTACCACAAGTATTGTTCTTGAGCATCTGAGGATAGGGACCAAGTATCAGAGTCAGTGTGTTGAAGGAATAATAATAGCTAACGTTTTGGGAAAAGAGACTGAGGCATTGTGCTATATATGCATCCTTATTTATTCTTTTAAGAGCTATGCGTGTGTTATTTTATTTATTCCTCATAACTCTGTGGGGTAGATGCTGTTATTCCCATTTTACAGATGAGGAAAATGAGGTACAGATCAAATGACTTGCCCAAAGTTACACATGGTAAGTGGCAGAGCTGAAATTTGAATCCAGGTAGATCAAGAAACAGGTTCAGGGGCTTCCCTGGTGGCGCAGTGGTTGGGAGTCCACCTGCCGATGCAGGGGACACGGGTTCGTGCCCCGGTCCGGGAGGATCCCACATGCCGCGGAGCGGCTGGGCCCGTGGGCCATGGCCAATGAGCCTGCGCGTCCGGAGCCTGTGCTCCGCAACGGGAGAGGCCACGTTAGTGAGAGGCCCGCGTACCGCAAAAAAAAAAAAAGGTTCAGAGAGGCTAAGGAACTTGAAAAGGTCATACATCTAATTAGTGACTAAGCAGTGGTTTGAACCCAGAAATAACTGGCTCCAGAAGCACTAGAATGTGTTTTTTCGAATCATTTAGAAGTCATGCTGTGCAATAGAAATGAAACTAATGAAGGACATGTCCACAAAAATACAGGTGGGCCCCCGAACGCACACATATGCAGAGGCATGCCCCAATTATAAAGTGGATAAAACACCTTCTCTTTCCAAGAACATGGTCTCTGGAGTCCAACTGTCTGGGTTTGGATCTCTTACCAGTTGTGTGATTTGGGTGCAAGTTACTTAACCTCTAGCTCCTATGCCCTACTTTCCCTATCTTTAAAATGGGAATGCTTGATGAGTACCCAGTTCATAGGGTAATGGTGAGGATTATAAAATATACATTTTAGATGTTCAGAGGGGTACTTCCCTGGTGGCACAGGGTAAGACCTCATGCTCCTAATGCAGGGGGCCTGGGTTCGATCCCTGGTCAGGGAACTATATCCCACGTGCATGCTGCAACTAAGAGTTTGCATGCCACAACTAAGGAGCCCACGAGTCGCAACTAAGGAGCCCATGTGCTGCAACTAAGGAGCCCGCCTGCTACAACTAAGACCTGGTGCAAACAAATAAATATTTTTTTTAAAAAAAGCTCAGGATAGTGCTAAGCACATAGTAAGTACTCAGTAAACATAATATTAACTATTACGAGAATTTTCCTGACTTTTCCAACAATTTCACCCTCTTAGTTCAAAATTCAGCTTCGATTGGTATTCTACCTGTAGTACCTGTCTTTTACCACACTGAAAATTATGTCATTTTAATTCCTTCACTGGCTCGGTTATTTCACACACGATACAAGACCTATTATGTGACTAGATACTCTTCTATGTGCTGGGGATATACAGTAAATGGGACAAAGTCACTGCCCTCATGGAAGGTACAGCCCTCTTTCCCTAACCTGCTGCTTTGTCCATTATCAGTCCAGGGCACTCTCTGCTGTCTGAAGGGCCATTCTTCAAGGGCTGCAAGGATATGAGAAACACAGTGGTGGAAGATACTAGCCTGAGGAAGATACTAGTGAGGCCTGAGAAAATGCCTTTCAGCAAAATTAAGATCAGGCCGTGGAGGGGGAACTTTCAATCTGGAGCGATCAAGCTCCAAGACAGACAGGTAAGCAAGGCCACTGGTGTAGTGGACATGGCTTTGCCCTATGCAGGCTCTGCCTGTTCATTTTCTTTTCGTGGCTAACATTTATTGAGTGTGTCTGGCACTTTATGTAGATTATATAATTAATCTTTGAACAGCCTCACCAATTTGCAGATGAGGAAAAACTGAGGCACAGCAGTTAAGTAACTTGTCTGATGTAATAAAATTAGTAAGTGCCAGAGACAAGATTTAACTAAAATTTGTCATACTCGAACCTACACACTCTAAAGTCAGGGAAGAGAAATGGGGCCAGGTAATTTGGACTTATCCTGCCCCTCATACAGTTCCCTAAGCCACAGGACAGAGATGTCAGATGCTGTGGTGAGTACTTTGCTATTGGAATCCCCAGGTTCTCTCGCGATTAAAGAATTCTGTAGTTCCACCCATCTGACTACAGGCCTGTTGAAAAATGAGAAGCATAAGCTGGGAGGCAGAGTCATCATTGGGGCACTCTAGACCAGGAAGGCTGTATGCTCTATTGAGGTAGGGACTGAGCCCCAAAATTCGCTCTATAATTCCAGATGGTTCAGTGCACAGCTGGGCATGCTACACTCAACAGAAACTTATGTTTTCAGGAAGGAAGTCACTCAACTTTGCAGAAGGTTGTTGGGGATGATACAGGGAAAGTTTGACTCTAGGGAGTGAGGTCTGATCAGAACCTGGGGTGACATGAGGGTTCCCCTCTGAAGAAGGCATCTCCTAGTCCCTGGCAAAAACAGATGGCATTTCCTAAGCCCCTCCTTTTCAGCTCCTTTAGGACACTGCTCAAGTTAGGATGGGGACGCATCCTCTGGCTTGAAGGTCCCAGAATTCAGAAGTAGTATGGCTCTCTTCATCCACCGATATCCACCCCCAGGAATTTGCGCTAGAGGCTCATGTAAGTTATTTCCTCCATTGACACTCCTGCCCTCCTTCCCCAAGATATTTCTGTTTTGTTGGCTAATTCCCTTTGGTAATTGATCTTGCAGCTCTGTTAGGAGTGTTTCCTGTGTTTATTTCATTATATAGGAAAGAAAGGGAGAACTCCGAGTGGACCAAAAGGATTAGAAAAATGATGCCTGGATGCCTGGCGCCCACACGCAGTGAGCCCCTTAATCCTTGCCCCTGTCTTCCTGGTGCTGTCCCCAGGTTGAGTCCCTGGTTGGAAGAGTACTGCCTTCAACTAAAGCAACTAAGGAGGCCTAGAATGAGTTCCAGGGCTCCCAGGATGCGTGAGAGCTGCCCTGTGGAGGTACTGGAGAAGTTGGGAGGGGGAAGCTGTGGGGAGAGGAAAGAAGGCAGAGATGAGCTCAGGGCCCCCAGAGAATGGAGTCTTTGTGTGGGGTACAGATGAGGGACAAGGGGGTGATTGTGTGGGAGGGCCGGAAGTACCACACAGACTGGCACCACCATAGCCAGCACCGGATTCACCCCTCTCCTGCTCCAAGAACTCCCTGTGCCCCAAGGGACCAGAACCAGACCCGGTCAGGGAAAGCAGTGCGTGCCTGAAGGCAGCAAGGGATGCAAAGGTGGAAAGGAGGATGTGCAGCCAGGAGAAAAAGTGAGGTATCCCCCACCATTATCCCAGACTCAGAGAACAGGAGGCAGAAGGAAAAAGACAGAAGCAGCTTTTACTATATTACATCCAACAAAACTTCGCAAGGAACAATCCTTATTGCACAGTCAGGGCCCTGGGTGGGTGAAGCATTCCCCAAGGTGGAGTGGACAGAAAGGATCAGGACTAGAGGGGTACCAGTTTTTCCTAAGGGGAGCCTGGGACTCCTCTAGCTCCCACCTCCTAACTTTCAAGGAGCTACAAACCACTGGACCACGCAGGCCCATTTCCCTTCTCTTTCTCACTGTCCATAAGAACCTCATAAGCAAGGGGGCTGTGGCTCCAGAATAAATAACTTAAAATAAAATACAAACACTAAGGTAGAAAGGCATGGAGAGCCTTGGGCTCCTTCGGCAACTCTAGGGAAGCGGGACCATCATTGGTGGGGAATGACATCCCTCCCTCCCATTCAGGGCAAAGGCTCAGTAGCTGTGTATCTTTCTAGTTGTTTTTTAAAACAAAAACTTATAAAATGACCAGGGCAGTGCAGATCTGTGGGTACCCTGGAGAGGAGTTCCTGGTATAGGATGAGGCGGAACAGAGATGTGCCAGCTCCCCCCAGGCCTCCTCCAACATCAACATGAGCACAGAGGGCAGGTTGGAGATAGGGGAATTGTGACTTTTGGTAACAGTGGGCCCCTCTTCCTGCTGCCCCCATTCAGAGCCTACGGCTCGGCATGCTTCGCAGCCTATTCCCAACTCCTCTATGAAAGCAACAGGGAAGCAGGTTATCTCTAGAATCCATTCTCCCTCACCTCCTCAGCCCAGGCTGGAGAAGGAAGCTTAAGGGTCCCTAGCATTCCAGAGGTGCTCCA